ATTACTTCTTCCGCATTGAGTCGACTGTTCTCTTCGAGGTTCTGGATGAATTCGACCATGACCTCCCTGATAAACATGAAGATTACGCACCCGATGATAGCGTCCTTCCAAGACGTCCTCAGATAGTGAACTAACATCGACGTGCGTATCTTGGTAGAGGACATGGTGGGGAATAGAACGTCAGGGTGCGCTAAAAGGTGCCAAATGGCGTGGTCTACCCAAAGAGGCCCCCCAGGGCAGTCTCTATCCTCATCGCTGCGCTTGCAGCTGCACTTCAAGTACGGCCGCCTGGCACTCCACACCTTCCTTAGATTTCTGAGGTCCAGGGAGGGTGGTTGCTTGATAGCTTTGTGCCAGATTACAGGCGCTGTCTGGCCACATTTTTCTGGGTCGACATAGCTCATCAACGGGAAAGATAAGTCGCTGGGAGAAAAAGGTGTCACTGACTTACCGCAGTACTTGAGCTGCGCGGTGTAGGCTATGGCCTTGCACTTCCTAATCTGGGCGTCGGTGAGGCCAGGAATTGGTAGGCTTTAACAGAGATCGGCGCTAAGTGATTATACGTCTCTAGTTTCCAGATACAGTGTCCGAAGCCAGTGCTAGTGTGCTCAACCCAGTGCGTGGAGGCTAAAGGGGCGAAGGCGGTGAACTGCCTGGAGGAGGACGCCTGCAGAGGTCTCGGGGCTGCTATGCGCCTGAGTGGGGTTTGTTGCGTTGTGGCTGAAATGGCTGCAATGGCTTGCTCCATCTCTGCCATCTCTATGTCATTGATATCTAGTGCTTGGCATGTAGCCTGTGCCAAGGGGGCATGACCTTGTGCCTCCCGTGGTGCGCGTGGAGGGGTGGTGGTTGTGGAGGGGAGCAAGCTTTTTAAATGTGCGTCACTCAATCCCCATGCTTTGAGGAAGATCTGTTCCACCCTAGCCGTCCTTTTTGATAGTTCCGCGCATTCCCTGGCGTATTCCACCTTTCTAACCTCGAGTTCTGTCCCTAATTTCTCCACCTCCGATCGGAACGACGTGCTATCGTTATCCCATGTCATCGCCATCCTCGCTAGGTCACTGAACCCGATCATCTCAAAAAAACTAGGAAAAGCCCCAGAGTCCCATACCATCTTAATCACCTCCACGCTTTCGGGCTTCATGCACGTAATCAGGGCCTGCGCTGGTTTGCTAGGCCAGGGACACCGTTCGAGCCATGGGAACCTCTCGATGACCTCATTCCACCATCCTCCAGGAAAGCCTTCATCCGGTGTGATCTACACAAGCAACGACATAGTGGAAAAAGGAACGACAGGGGAAACCAGAATGGGGGAAGAGAAGGTGGCGTTGAGGGAGAACAGAGGAAACAGGAGACAAGGGGAAGATAGAGAAGAACAGAAAAAACAGAAAAAACAATAAGTTGGGGCGTAGCGCTGGCCCTTGGTTATCACACAGCCGTTATCAGCTGATACCCCTTCCTTCGCTACACCATCAGGCCTTTCGATGCCCTGTCATTACCACTTTTCCGAGCTTTACCGACACTTCCTCTGCGTCCCGTAATTAACGGCATCCAAACTTTTCTCGCGGTGTGGTTGGTGGGGGCACCCACCAACAGCGCTGCGGGGATGATCCCACCCGTGTGTGTTTTGAGTGTGTGCATTCTACGCACGCCTAGGCAAGAAAACCTATGCCTGGTCCAATCTCCGATTTAACATCGGCACACCCTTTAGCTTGGGAATTGTCGCAAGTATCGCATCGGCTCCTGTTGTGGAATACAACATCTACTCGTGTTCCAGTGTGCTAAGCGAGTCATAGGTCAAGTCGTTGTTGCCAGCCGCGGTTGCGATGAGTCAGCAAGTGCCCTCAAGCTCACTCCGTGATCACTCGTTCATCGCGCCCGTTGGGAAAGGGTTCACCAAGCTTCAATGCAGGGGACATCTGGAGAGCCATCCTATAGTGTCGTTCGATGCTTTGATCCCTTGAGACCGCCCTTCGATCGTGAAGGGTATCCATCGTGTTCCGCCTGCGAAGCTCGTAGCTCATCACAACCCGAGGGCGCCATTTCTTTGAATGGGGGCGATCGGAGTGCGAGCGGTGCTCGAGCTTCCGGGTCTTGAAACGGTCTGGGCTGCCCATCAAGCTCCCGTAGGTTAGGACTCAAGGTATCAAGAGATTCTCGGCATGTTGCACTCGGTCCACAATCAAGGTCCTAAGCGTGTTACAGCATAACACATGCATCTCGTCATCCCTTTGCGAAAGAGAGAAGGGGGGAAGGYGGACGGCGCCGTGGGGGAGAGAGAGAGGGGAGGGCAGTGTGACTAGTCAATCATAGATACGCACAAACTGAATCGAACGACTTGTTAAGGTCGAAAAAAGGACGAAAGGAGGCTTCTCAAAACCCTGATTTACAATTCACAAGGCGAAAAGCCATAGGAAACATTGATCAGAGTTTGAGTCGAAAAGAACAAGCACGAAGGGACACKTTTTCAAAACACCGATTTACACTTCAAAAGGCGAGAAGCCATAGGGAAAATCAATCAGAGTTCGAGTCGCTCCTAATTAACATAAGGAGCAAGGGGGGAGGCAGGAGGGGAGAGGAGAGGGGAGAGAGGAAGATGGAGAGAAGAAGAATGAGAAGGCGAGGGGAGGAGAGTATGGTGGGGAAAAAAGCGCGCTACTCAAAGACGAATTACATCTGTTTGTTGAAAAAAAGACAGGTGAAAAACACTGATTTTCACTTTAAAGGGCCAAAAGCCATAGAAAAAATCAATCAGAGTTCGAGCCGCTCTTAGTTAACATAGAAGGAGCAAGGGGTGAGGCAGGAGGGGAGAGGAGAGGGGAGAGAGGAAGACGGAGAAAAGAAGAATGAGAGGGCGAAGGGAGGAGAGTATGGTGGGGAAAAAGGGCGCTACTCCAAGTATTCAAAGACGAATCACATCCGTTTGTTGAAAAAAAGACTGGTGAAAAAAAAGGGGAAAACACACACACACACATTAGTCTRCTGACTCATCAGGTTTTCATGAAAAAATGAACGCGAGCACTTAGAAACGTTGAAGGAAAGATGCCTCTCAAGCCTCCGAGCCATTGGCGAAAAAAACGGATACCCCTATGCAGAGYACCACTCTCTCCCATCGTGACGATGCTTGGTGATCTGTCATGGAAAAACAATGGTCAGGGGGAAGCGACGACGAAGCGGGGAGGGAAAGGGAAAAAAAGGAAACGAAGAAAAGAAAAGTCCTGTACCATGTTGCCTAGCCCTGGTACCRCTCTTTTGGCKAGGTGGGCTACTCAACAGATCCGCAGGAGGGAGTGGCATCTTCCCTGAGGCCTTTCTGCCGCTTGCCACAAGCGGCTTCATCAGAGGGGGACCCTTTCCTTTGTCGTCGRAAAAGGGAAGAGAAAAGAGGGGGGGGTGGAGACGAGGGGGTAACCAACACATGCATGCGAGAAGAACCTTTACACAGGGCAGCGTAGGGGAAGAAAGGTTCACAGAGCGTGCAGCAGGCGTGAGGGGTCGGGGCCGCGTGCGTGGTYGTCATAGGCTAGCATAAGCCGCAATTGCTCCGCCTATTGCCAGTGTCATGAACAGCGAAGCATAGCTGATTGTGAGGTAGATCACCCCAGAGGCTAGCCTTGCTGGCGCCAGCAGCACTCACTCTGACGGGCATGCCCATATTGCTATGCTGCATATGACTGCATTAGGTAAGGCGGCTAGGATGAAGGTGATCCCGACCAAGGATGCAAGAGTTGTGCCTAGGGGTGCTGCGTGCTTCTCGGGGAGGCGTTGCGGCGATGGATCCTGCGTGCTGCTCGCCGGGAGGGGACCCTGCGTGGTGTGCACGGTTTCCTGTGTGGCGGTGGCGGGCGCGGGGGTGCGAGAGCATGCTGGCTCTTGCCTGGCAGCGAGGGGGGGTGTATGCGCGTTGGTATGGGAGCAATCTGCTGTGGAGCGGGGGGGTATGAGGGGAAGAGAGCTGGGGTCAGGGAGAGCTGCGATGAAGCATAGAAGCGCTATGCATGCTAGCAGGGCTAGATAGGCTATGAAGGCGCACGTGGAGACTGCGCATGCCTCCCGCGTTTCATCGTGATTGGCCATGCTGGCCGAGTGCTGCTATTGCCGCTGCGAGCAGGAATCGTGCTGTTGGAGCTATACCACTTCTTCGCTGTCGGCTGGCTCCTCCAAAAGGTCAAGATCCACGAAGAAGTCCATGTCGATTGATCACTGTTACTGGCGCAAAACCTCCCGTCGGACTGGTCGAATGAGCTCACTGTCAATCCCGCTCCCAAAACACATTAGATCGTCTTACAATGTGTTCCGTCCTCATCCCTTGCCCATTTAAACCAGCGATGGCCCTGTTGCGAAGCGCCGCTACCCCGCTCCTGTCCGATCCTCGTCATGCGCCTCCCCCCGTATTCCGCCCTTGCCATGCTGAAGGTCTTGACGCCAAAAAAAGGTCGCCCCGAATATGCCAATAGCCTCGGCAAGCACCGAGCCCCGCTTTCGGTGCTTCCCCCTTGGCTCATCGCGTTGCCCATCATCCAGCTCGATCGCGGCTCTCCGTACAGTCGCGGTGCCCCAGCCATTCCCCTCGAGAGCTCGCGTTCGATCCCTCGTGGTTCCCAGGGGATCATCGCGCCTTGCTTTTCCCCGCGTGCGACGCATCCCTCGCTTCTCACCGAAGTGTTCGATACTCGTCAACCGCCGAGGATCCTCGGCCGACCAAGTGGCGATGGCTGCGCTCCCTCTGGCGTTCCCCCCTCCGACTGTCCCCCTGCGTCAACAAAAAATGGAAAAATGGAACACGAAAAAAAGGGGGAAAAAAAGAAAAAGGAAGGGGTGTGTGTGTGGGTGGGTATCCCTGACTGTGACAGGACAGTTGGGGCGTAGCGGTGCAGACAGCATGCGTGGTGAAGGGGGCTCGTCCCCTTGTGTYGCTTCCTGGCTCGACCCTCGCTTTTTTGTTTGTTTCGATTCCCCGAAACGAGTGTAGGGGCTGGTAGGGGCTTGCCCCGTACGTTCGATGATTCCCCGTACCTCCCTAATCCCGCAGATCGCCCCAAGTAGGTTCCGTCGCCTGGGTTTTTTGTCTTATTCAAAAAAGGAAACAAAAAAAGAAACAACAAAAAAGAAACAACAAAAAAAAGGGGCGACACAAACAAAAAGACAAAAGGGGGAAGGG